TAACCTGCAGGATTAAAGCTCAGGTTAGAATCAGGAAGCATCGCCGCCGCGCTAACCTGCAGGATTAAAGCTCAGGTTAGAATCAGGAAGCATCGCCGCCGCGCTGCAGACTCTCCTCCTACTGGAGAGGAAAACATCCGCTAACGGATCCCAGGACCTTAAATGCTAACAGTCCTTCATAATATAGAATAATAAACCCATATGAAAATAAAGCTGCAACATTTTTACGCTTTTCAGGCCGATTCTCCAGTCGTGCGAGAATCTTTCCATCGCGCCGCCTTTCAGCCTGATGGTGCATCGTGTAGCATACGGGGTAACGGTCTGGTTATCCTCCCCCAGCAGTCTGTCGCAGATATTTTTGATTTCTGTCCAATATATTGAAGCGTGGTCTGCGCTGTTATTCCACAGCACAACGCCAGAGGGCAAAGTTTTAACAACTTCTATCAGTCTTTTCTGAACATTTCAAAAGTGTTCAACCGAATGAAAACACAAACAGTCAGTGACGTACTCCAAGGTGTTGATAAGAGCAAACATTAGCATGAACCAGCAGAGATCTCGCGTAGCGCTCCTTTCACACCTGAACAAACCAACTGGTCCGACTTTTTAATCTCCATTCCGATGTTTTTCCATGAATCACTGACTGCGTATAGAGAGGCTCCGACTAGGCAGGCTGAGCAGATCTATTCAGATTATTTCTGTCTCTGTGCTTTACACACATTAAAAAACGTTCCCACTTGGACAGATCATGCAAAGTTAAGCTAAAAATTATAAAATGAAAATCATTGGTGCATTCTATAAAGCAAAGCTCTACTTAAGTCTGTGCGGCATCTAGAACCAGAACAGATAGAGAATGTTCATCTATTAAAAACATAATGAGATCTACGTCTAAAGACGTTTTTGCTCCAGTCTGTCCTGCTCACTATAAACGCGATGTGCGACTCCAAACTGACTCCTTCCCCGTCAGATTAACAGATTTTATTTGGGATTTTCCTCCAAAGCGGATGTGTGATCTATCTCTATAGTTCTGCTGCTATAGGCTTAGACTGCTGGAGGACATAGGGACCCCTTTTTCACAATTCTGCTTCATTCTATCTCTATTCTCCCACTCTGCAGAATCTGTTAGTTCAATCTCTAACGTTCTGCTCTCTCTGCTTTTTCTCATAGTAGCTTCATCTGGTCTGTTCCTGTTTGGCTGTGACTCCATCCTGGAGAGAAATATCAGCTGTGCTGCTGCCATCAACACCTTTGTTTCTAGATGTTGGAGCTTGGCCTGTTTTCCAGTGTAGTCCTGTTTCTCTGACTGTGACTAACTGGATGTGCTCTCTTCATCCTCTGACATGGGAGCTGGCTGAATTGGAGCTATAGAAATATAATGAATAGAACTGAAAACAGGCCATCTTGGAGCTCCAGAGAGTAGAAGTTTTTTCTTTGTGGTTCATGAATCCTCCTAATTAAATATGTAGCAAACATCAAAGGTTAGAAACAAACATCGCCATAAGTAATAACTTCCTGGTTTTACTGTTAAAGCCTCATAAATGCAAACTTCACACAGATGCAAAGATCGTGGCGTTCTAAAGTCAAAGCGTTCTCCGATTAGACGCTGGTAAAGCTGCTGGCAGGTGGCCGCCGCATCACACGGCGAGCGGCGGCTCTGCAGCCAGACTGAGCGTCATGCAAAGAGGAGCGGCCCTCACCTTTAGCTCCTCCTCCAGCTCTGCCATGCGCCGCTCCAACATCCTCCGGTCCTGGCGTCCGAAAACACCGTAAGGAGAGGGGGAGGGGCAACCGGGGGGAGGGGGGGGGAGAAGGAAGACAGAAGTTGAGTGAAAACAAGTGAGGAAGTGGTTGAAGTGGAGGCAGAGGAGTGTGAGACGGCTGTGGTGGCGCAGTGAGGCAACCAAAACTAAAACCAGGCAACACTGAGGGAGGGGGGCGGGGGGTTACCTTCCTCTCTAGCTCCAGCAGCGCTGAGCAGTCGGTCAGGCGCTCTTGTCTCTGTTGGGGAAAGAAGCGGCTTCATAAATAAGAGCTGCAGGTTTGAAAGCAGGAAAAGCTGCAGCTCTTCATCACCTGCGCCGCCTTCTCCACCTCCAGCCGAGTCTGGCTGATGATCCTCTGGGTGTCCTGCAGCTGCGCCTGGAGCTGACTGTTTTCCCTCGACACCTCCTCAAACAGCTGCCACGCACACATCCATTAATGAGTCAGATATCAGCACATGGCCTCATGGCCACCTCCTGCTGCTCACCTTTTTATAATCTTTAGCCTCTGATCCCTCTCTCTGGGCGCGGCTGTTATACAAGCTGTCCAACCTTGAACTGGCGTCTTTGTCTTTCTGCACAGAGGGAGAAAATGTCAATACAGCTGCTGGTTGAGTGGAGCGCTCTTTGATGACACACATGAAGGGCAACCTGTGGATCCGGCCCACTCCCTGAGAACTCCTCCTCTGCGGCGGGCTGGACGTCTTCGCCCTGCAGGAGATCAACAGGTTTTGTAGCCGCTGCAGGTTTTTAGTTTGTGGTTTAGAGGAGGATGGTTACCTCTCCGCTCCGCTGCGCCTTCCTCCTGGCCCGAGCCTGACGCCTCTCCCTGCGCTCTCTGTCCCATCTTTCAGTCTCGCTCTCTCCTGTAATGGACTCAACATCTGAGCAGAACCACACAGAAACAAAACAAAAATATTCAGATTAATTAACCCTTCATAGGGGAAGTTACCACTTTTCATCATTAGCATCATTGTCTCCCTTTTATCTCCTCTTTCTTTCATCTTTTCTCATTTTTCCTGGTTTTCCTTTCCTGTTCTACTTCCATTGCAGCGTCCATTTAATCTGTAAAACTCCCTGCATGATTTATAATAAAGTTATTTATATGCATTAATCCAGTGGAACACTATGGCGATAGCCGTACTGCTCCACTGGAGAAAGGAAAATCTGTTGGGTTCTTTTTGACATCAAGACAATTATTAATTAATTATTCTTATTGCCACATTGTCAAACAGGACACTGTTAAAAAACAACAACAAATGGACCCCCCCTCAAGTTGGAAAAAAAAGTCAATAAAAAAGCTAATTGAAAAGTAAAAAAATGAAAGTTTAAAATTGAATCTGAGTGTTAAATGTTTAAAGCTATGCGTAATTATTGCTTTCAGAAAAACTGCGGTTAAATACAATAGATACATTTTTTGAAATAGTTGAAAAACCTGCGTTGTTTCTTGGTTTACGGTGTAAAATCAGATTAAAATGATTAGAAGTTTGGGAATGTGCAGACGCTAACCTTTCCTTTCAGATGCCTCGGGGCGAGCCGAGCCGGCAGGCTGCGTCAGACCCAGCAGGTCGGACTTCTGCAGGCTGGCTATACGAGATCTCCAGCTGACTTCCTGCAAAGCAACAACTTTTCGCTCTGCATCATAACAAAAACATGATCCGCCCCACAGAACAGGCTCCTAAGTATTTGATAGGTCCTTTACCCCTTCGTCTGC